TTTAGGAGAAAATTCAAAGAAGCCGCATATATGCTGTCCAACAATGCATTTAGCCAAGCTACCGTAGAGATACGCAACATATGAAAACCTCTCATCAAGCGGAACACAACCAACTCTTGCTAAAACCGATGAAGCGGGGAGAAGGAAGAGGGGATAGGTGAAAGCACTCGAATGACCTATAAATAGTCAGATCTCGGAGGAATAAGTCCAGTTATCACCCGAAGACGATTGTGGACACTAACAATCGAAACGTCGTAAAGTAACTTGGTTTGGAATCTTTTGATTTTTTATTTTCATTTCTGGTTAATATTTTTTTAAATTTTCATCTCGTGTTTAATTTTATTTTTTTTATTTTTTGGTTGTTGTTTATATTTCATTTCATTGTAATTTTAGTTTTTTTTGCTCAATATAATTGTTATTTTTCAGCTAATCTCTTTTTTAATTTTTTACAGATTGTTTTCGGTATTTCAAATTAATTTATTTCATACCAGACGATGGGAGTCCGAACTAATAAAATGCACCAAGAAACATTGTCAACTACCTTTAAACAAACTTTGACACAGTTTTGAATTGGTCTTCAAATTCTACTATCAAACGATAATAGTAGGTATATTGTGCCAAAAGTGCAGAAAGTAAACTATTCAACATCTTGTGCCACAATCACATAAGTGTGGTATATGTTATCTTCTCCATACTTATTTCAGGTTTGAATTGAATATATATTTATTCGACTTCGAACTACATATTTTACAACTTCAAAACTAATTATGACTGCAAAAATGTATGTTAACATTACCTATGTTAGCAATGTCAATTTCAGGAACATTATCTTGAATTTCAGCTGACTATATTTTCAGAAATAGATAAGTGTTGCACTAATAAATGATGTCCCTTTTTCAACAAATTGCAAGGTTTCATTTGTGTATGACATTTTGCTTGAGACTGTCACCGATTTATCTCTCTGCCATCGTGACAATTTTTACCCGCCTTGTCGCTTAAGGGTTGTTACGTTTGCACCACTGTCTGTCACTATCAAAACGTATGATAATCGAAAACAATGAATTTTATAGTTTTTTATGGTGTTATGTTACTAAACTTAATAATTCTAACACATTGCACTATATGTTTCCCCTTCTTGTAATTTGTAAAAAAGTAGTCATGAGATACATCGACCTATAATGCAACCACTAGGAATCGCTCGTTAAAAGGTGATATCTCGTTAATCCTTAACACACCCAAGTTTGGACTTCTGAGAGTTGTCGTTCGTAGGAGCGTGACAGCTGGTTAACGAATTTTGAAAGATTTTTTCAACAGACATATCAGGAGAATCTTGTGAAAATTGATGAATTTCTTCATTTGACATGAGAGTGCTAGAATGAGTGTGTGGAATAACATTCCAGTGCATGCGTACGGAATTTATCACTTTCTAGTTTGAAAAGTAGCACGGGATACATTTTATATGTTTATAGTGAAAAAATATAACCCCTGTTCTTTGGCGTTGCTTTTTGTAGAGTTTCAATGAAGAATTTGTAATAATTTTATTTTTCTTACGTCAACGAAGTTGACGTACGAAGTTTATTATCATTATTATAATAACTATTTCTCACATCATGAAATGTTTTTGGGGTAATTTTGTTGTGTGCAACTCTGATTCTATTTACGAGTTCTGGTATAGCCTGCATTTTTTTAACGTATTCTTTTGATTTCATACATCTCCACAAAAATAATCTAAGGAAGTCATATCAGGCGTTCCGGCGGGTCATTCTAAAAAACTGCGTTTGCTTATTCACCGATTTCGATAATTAGACACATTTGAGCCAGCCTATCATGATGAGGAGAAGCCCCATTTTGCCAAAACGTAACAACAGTTGAAAAATTAATTGGGTTGGTTTGAAATATTTCTCAAGTACCTTTTTATTCATGACTTTCGCATATAGAGATCACATTTCCGAAAAAAAAATTTTTTTGTATTTTCTTTTCCTACTTTTTTTGTGCGGTGTTTGGTAGGGGAAGATCTCAGTCATGATTGGTATCTAAATTTATAAAAGTCATTCGAAACTTTCCAACGAATTCACCCCTCCGAATTTTGTTTTCACTTTTTCCAAGTTTTTACAGTGCACATCACTTTCTAGTGACGACGTTTTGCTGAAACTCATTTTTTACTCCAATACAACAACTATTTATTTAAAAATAGGGGACCCTACTATATAAACAATAATGACACCCAACTAGAACAAAAACGAATTTTAAGATATAAAAAAATATAAAAATACTTGAGACCTAACTTAATTACAATTAATTATGTCATATTCACTACTACTCCCCCATATATNGTCTGAAGCTCATGGTTCGGGAGCTACACATTATTTGATGACATTTTATTGAGAATTTTATAAATGAAAATCATAACTATATAAAAAAAATCTCTGTGATAGTGAAAACCACTGCAATGACTCTAACATGAATACAATACTAGTAACTAGGTAATCTAAAGATAATCCTCATTCCACGGTTCGGTAGTATCTGTAACTTCTGCACTGTCCGATTGAGATTTAGGAAGTAATGTATGGACGAGCAATAATCAATATGGTACTGTATTATGGATTGGTATGCAAATCTCCTGGTTTTGCATAGTTTATTCTTCACTTACTCTTGAGAAGAAGTGAAGCTTCTCTGATTTTTTTTTATAAATGTGATTGCAGTGATCATTTAGCAGCAACAAATTATTCAGTTGGAATCCAATATATTTCATGGTTATTACAATATTGATATTCATCAATAATGATGACAAAAAATTATCTTGCGTTTTTTCAATTTTGAAAAATGAGAGCTCCGAATCAAGAAAACAAAAATCGACAATTTTTATTTTTTTCAAATATCTTGAGAACTTTTTGTAACTTGGTAGACCTTCTAATTTTTGGCGATTTTCGAGACCCTAATAGTGACCTGCTTAAAGAAAACACAGCCTGAATGTAATTCTCGATTGATAAGACGCTATGTATTGATACCATGGTTTGCCGCTATATTCTGAATTAACCGTACTTTATCTGTTTTTGTACCACGACTAATTTGGTTTAATACATATTTATAACATATTCTATTGATAATACTGCCAAATTAACATTTTTACATGAAAAAGTATTTTAGTATTTTTTCTGATAATTGTAATGGAATGATTTGTTAAGTTTATTTAATTTCTGAGGTTATCTTTGACATTCCAGAATTATGCACGTGCAATTACGTGTTATCAACGAATGATTAAGAATTAATTAATGCTGAATAATCAAGTTATACAAATCTGTACGTTTACGATCACTTTAATCCTACTGTTATCTCAAAGGGTAGTCCTAATTTACCTATATATTAAACATAAATAAAAACCAAATTACAGAAACTTCCAGAAACCTGAATAATCAATCACTGAATCCTTACATTTCCACATGTCTTCCTTCCATCGCTAAATATTTTATTGTTCGTGCACAAAATTCTTTATAGACATTTTCTAAAATAGATATCGGTACAACACTACTCAATAACATTTTCTAATCCATTGATGTTTTGAAATGGTTTTTCAGCATACATCATTATTTTATTTTTTTTCACCGTAGTGTGCGCTGATCAGGCCCTATCCCTCGAAGCCCCGGAGGGCGCGCCAGCATTATCAACAAATAAACATTTGGTCCGAGAATCATGTGCCCTGAGCAAGCGGAAAAAAAGGATGAGGGAATCTTCTTTTCTTCCATTCCACAACGATTGTTTGAAATACAAACTGAGTAGAGAAAAGTATCTTCTGTATAATTCAGTGTTCATATAGAAGTATTTGTTTCGGAAGATTTTTTTTTTTCGTGTAATTCAATGTTTATATGAAAGTAGCTGTTTCAGGAGGACTTNCATTTTGACATATTCACATTTGATACAACTTTCACTATCGCACCCCCAGAGAATGTCACCATTTTTTTTTCAAATGGATCAATTATTTTGTATTATCAGATGTTCCGTGATGGACAGATTTCAACAAAGTAGAATACATTATGGTCTGAAGCTCATAGTTTGGAAGCTAAAAATCATTTGAGTTGGAAACAAGTCACTCTGAATAACTTTTGAAACAACTATTTCCAGGAAAAATAAAAAACACCTCAACAATAGTATACAGGGGGCACATTTTGACATATTCACATTTGATACAACTTTCACTATCGCACCCCCAGAGAATGTCACCATTTTTTTTTCAAATGGATCAATTGTTTTGTATTATCAGATGTTCCGTGATGGACAGATTTCAACAAAGTAGAATACATTATGGTCTGAAGCTCATAGTTTGGAAGCTAAAAATCATTTGAGTTGGAAACAAGCCACTCTGAATGAACTTCTGTACAATCTGTTACCTAGGTTTCATACGTGTTTTTGCGAAGTATACTTCAAAAAAGTCTTATTTTGTCTAGTTAAGTTTGAATTCGATATTCTCTTCATTTTGTATTTGTATCATGCTACAATAACGAGCACCACCAAGTGAAGGTACAATTGGTGTTTCATGAATTCTTGGGAAGCAATGGTTTATACGCTTCGAGAACTGATTGAAATAGTGAGTTTGTACTACCAGAATGGAAATAGTGCAAGACCTGCTGCCGTCGTATGTTCAATGATAATCATCCAGGAAGAAATGTACGACACAAATACATTTCGGAATTATTGAACTAATTCATGGAAACTGGATCTGTTAACAATAAAAAGCATAACCGTTCTGGAGTTGTCAACGATGAAGCTATTTGTACTGCAGTTTTAGGGCACGCTGGACTAATGGAAAATTCGCAATCTCTTACTAAGTTATTTCGAAAATCCGGAATCAGTGGTAGACATGTTTTCAGGATCCATCATGAGTACAAATTTCATCCATAGTGAAAGTCTTACTGAACGGATCAACTTGCATCAGAATTTCTTGTATCAAATTTGTTTTTCGGTTGAATGTAGTTTGTATGAAGAGGTGAATCAGCAAAATTGTCGATATTGGAGTGATACGAATCCTCATTTATACCGTCAAGTTCATACCCAACGACCTCAAAAACTGAATGGGCAGGAATTTTAGGTGATCACATCATAGGACATTTTTTTATCGATGATAATTTTACTAGGGATAAATATTTGGATATGTTGGAGAATCGAATAATACCGTTCATCAATAGGTGCATTGAGGAGGATATAAATTTATTCAAAAACGAAATAGTTGATGCACCTCCTCATTATGCAGCTCCAATGCGACAATTTTTGGATGATCATTTTCCTGGTCGCTGGATTGGCAGAAGAGGTTCTACAGAATGGCCACCAAGGTATCCGAATCTCAATCCTGTAGATTTCTTTCTATGGGGTCATTTGAAGTTTAAAGTGTATGAGATAGAATCAACAACATCAGAATATTCTAGAGAGAATATCGTGAGGCATTGCAGAGAAATAATTCCCGAGATTCTCAACCATGTGAGGGCGACAATGGAAGCTCATTTGTACCATTGTATGGAAGAATTAATAAAAAATCTCTTTTTCTGATTTATTGATTCCACATTTGTCTTTAGAGAATATTTCAAAATGTGGCCTCCTGTGTAATTGTTGACCTGTTTTTTTATTTTTCCTGCAAATCATTGTACCAAAAGTTATTCAGGATGGCTCGTTTTAAATGGAATGCACTGTATAAATATCCATCGCAAATGAAAGATTCAATTATATGACCAAAGTAATTTCGCAAGCGGACATAATTTTTATTCAAGAAAATTTCCTACATCCTCGGCGAAACTAGTTCCTTTTAGAATTTAATAATTTGCTAAGTGTTGGGGAATTGTAATAAATTCTTATTGTCGAACAAAATAGACCTAATAGTTTAAGTGGGTTTGAATTTAACTGAGAAATTGCTCTTAACACGAGGAACCATGATATGCGCCACCTGAAGCAAATTTCTTATGGTCTACAATCTACCTGATGCATTCGTAAGATGAATTTTTTAATCAATAATTTGATAAAAATGTTTATATCAATTCTCTAGTCAATTTAAAATTGAATGGTACAGTCAAATTATTTGCTGATGATACTACTATTAAATATCTCTCAGAAAGTTACGAAAAAATAAAAATGATATGAAGAACGGTTTGGATGAAATTCTCATTTGGCTTAATGAACATAAGTTGAGGCTCAATTTCAATAAATGCTCATATATGAATATTTCCCTAAGACTAATTAATACTTCAAATAATTCGATTATGTTTGATCACAATTCTAAACAACAACATTTTTAGGTTTATATATTGATAAGAAATTGCCATGGAATAAGTATATTGAAAAAATGAGAAACAAAATAAATTCTCCTATTGGATTTTTTACAAAATTAGAAACTTATACCTTTAAATTTTTTCAGAAATACATATTTCAGTTTCATTTATTCACATTACTGAAACAGCAAGTAAATGTATGATCAAATCTCTCAAAACGTTACAAAACAAAATAATCAGAAGCATTTTTAATTCACCATATTTGTAACTAATATTGAACTTACAAAACTATTTATTGGACTTTAATTCACTATATCAACTCAAAACTAGGTGCTTCATTCATTTTGTTGAAAATAATACAAAAAATCAAACTTAAATTTCATTCGAATTGAACTTATGCACAATTATGTCACAAGACAATTCAAATTACTGCCGAAATTTAAGATACAAAAAAGGATATATATCACAACACAGGGATTTTATAGTGATTGGGAATCCTTTATAATTTTATGTCATGCCAAAAGTGAAACATGCATTCGTCGAAGTCGAACAATCTCTTTTTTATTTTGTTTTTTTTTCACAATTGAACAAGGACCTAGGACTTGGACTCCTGGAGTGGAACCATTCTGAAAATCAGAAATCTCTTTGTTTCTATAGGGTTAAAAAATCCTCGAAGTAGTCGATTTCTAACTCACAACATAACGAACATAACGGAAGTATTTACCCGATCACATTTGGGATCGAAATACTCAAAGATTTTATAGTGATTGGGAATCCTTTATAATTTTTTGTGATGCCAAAAGTCAAAGATATATTCGTCAATGGTCGAACAATCTTTCTCAATCTTATTTTGCGTTTCTTTCACAAATGAACAAAGATCTAGGGCATGGACTCCTCGAGTGGAACCATTCTGAAAATTGAAAATTCATCTATTTCTATAGGGTTAAAAATCCTCAAAGTAGCAATCTGTAGTCGATTTCTAACTAACCACATAACAAACAGTTCGGAAGGAAATATTTACCAGATCAGATTCTGGATTGAAATACTCAGGATTTTATAGTTACTGGGAATTCTCTATAATTTTTTGTAATGCCAAAAGTCAAAGATATAATCGTCAAGAGTCTCTTTCAATATCAGTTTGTGTTTCTTTCAAAAATGAACTAGGGCCTAGGTCTTGAACTCCAGGAGTGGAACCATCCTGAATATTTCAGTTCTATTAGACTTCTGCTATTGATAAAATTACATCGGACTGAATTTTTTATTTTCAATACAAGCTTCAGACTTCAGAGTATCGATGGGATGTTTCTTCCCCACATTTGGGGTATTGTTCCCGAAATGGAGCTGTTACTTACCTCTCAGACTTGAGCCGCATTGAAGTCAGTCAAGTTCCAGGAACACTTCTGTTTGAGTCGGATCTGTTCTGCACTAATGAGTGGTAATACCTCAAAACCGGTCTGTAGCTGATCTACTCTAATGAAGTATCTGCGAGGCTATCCTCTGTGAGGTCTTGCATGAATGTCTGTCGGATATAATTCACTGTCCAGCGTGGTATTAGCCGGGAAACAGTTGGTTTCCGGTTTCCGGGAAGCATTTACCAGCACCTACTATGTAGGTGCGCCGTTTCGTGATTCGATTTTGAAATTTTTTTTTTCATGCTAATTTGCTATTCACAGGATTCATTTCATTTCAGATGTGCCATTCCCGAGTGCGATCAACCACAACCAGAATTCCAACCGACTTGGTTGTCAAATGCAGTTCCTTTCAGAGGTACCACTCCAACAAAATGTGAACACTACATATTCAATTCAAGCAGCAGTAACAATGACACATGCAGTGCCAATAACTTTGACAGAAACCGGATTGTCTCTTGCTCTTCATTTGTCTATAAGACCGAGGAAAAAAGCATTCTTCAAGAGGTAGGAAAATGATTTTTTTTGCAATTTTTTTTGTGGTGAATCAGTTTCGAACAAGTAACAAGGTTTTATAGAGTTGCAGGGTATAGGCATTGGACCCAGTGTTGGAGGTCATTTGCATATCTAATACATTCCAACGAAATAATGCTTGGAAGTCTAAATGAAATTGAATCAATAAGAAATAATTTCTGACCATCGATTTAATCCAAAAAGGTAAATGTCTCTGAACCGGATATAATAATGTCAGGACAGACAATTCCGCTTTCTGCTTCGATAAGTTTGTTGGGGTATTAAAATGGACACCAATGTGTCTTGGCACAATCATGTCTCTGGAATTGCAGAGGCTGCTTCTCAAAAGCTTAGGGCACTGTCCCGAACCCGAAAACTCTACAAACCTCAGCAACTTTTCATTCCTTATGAAGCTCAGATCAGACCTCCTTTGGAGTATTATTGTTCTCATGCTCTCATGAAAAGTGACATCCGCGTGATTGGAGACACGAACATCACTTGGTTGGAGATTGGTTTATAGATACTTTCACGGGAGCTCTTTATGTGACTTGGCACATTTGATTCCACCAAGAGCGGTACATATCAGAAATACGCGACAGATTCAAAAAATCTGTTCTGTTTTTCCGTTAATCAGCTGTCGCCCCCATACGAACGACAACTCTCAAATGTTGAGAACTTGTGCGAGCTAAGGACTAACGAGGTCCTACCTTTAAACGTGTGATTCCTAACACGGATTGTGACTGCTTATCGTTTTGAGGTTCAACTCAGTACACCTCGAACTTCACTCTTCAACGAGACGATCCTCATTCTGCTTTTATTGAGTTCTTCAATGAATAAACTCAGAAATATTGAACAATTGTTTTTGTTGGTAGGTTTTCTGGATATTAAATAAAAATATCCTACTTGTGATGCACTGTTTGGAACCTTTGGTATAATAATGAATATTACTGGAGTTTTATCCCAACACCACACCGTTATTTTAACATCTCGATAGGTGTTTCGATCACCAAGTGATCATCTTCAAGAGGAATATTGAACCAAATATACGTACAATGTTATCTTTATTTATACCATAGGTAATTCTTTTAGGTATCTGCGTCTTAAGTGTCTCAAATTAATTTCATTATATATGTTGCCTTATCTATTACTAGACTAGTAATATTCATAACTATCCTAGTTGAAATAACAACGGTTATTATCATATCGGCCAGTGAGTTAACGAAAACCTATATACAGGATGGCAAACGGAAACAATAATTACTTTGACGTTAAACGAACGAACTCGTGACACTTTAAGCTTATTCCTATAATTATTTTAAATTATAGTGTGCCTCGTTTTCTTTTGCTTGTTTCACTTCAGTCGTTTGGATTGAACTGATTTACAGCAACTTCGTCATAGGTCGAGTGCTGATTGAAGCATTTTGAATCGTCTTCCAGCACATTCGTTAATTCTTTCAATCTCTTTCACCAAATATCCATAACAATATTATTAATTTTTGGAAGAGAAAGGTTTTGACCTTCTACTTCCCCATCTCAATGCAAAAGAATGTCGGAATTCTCTAAAGAAAGACAGAGAGCCATTCACCCTGAAGAGGCATAAGCCTATAGCAGGGTCCTACACAAACACATACACACACAAAAATTGTAAAAACTGTAAAAAACTTGTAATATACGATTTTCATTCATTCATCCGAATAGCCGATAGATGTAAATAAAATTCGAAAAGAAACAGCGGTGGATCCCGTCCTCAGTAAAGTAATGTTATTTGTCAGGAATGGTTGGCCCAGAAAATGTCCTGGGGAAGATTATAAACCATTTTTTATAAAAAAAAAGAAATAACAACAGAACAGAATTGCCTCATGTGGGGTTATCGCATAATAGTGCCAAAAAAATATTGGAATTCAATACTAAATGAGTTACACGTTGCACATATGGGTATTGTTAAGATGGAACTTTTAGCTCGGGCTTATATGTGGTGGCCTTTGATGAACAGTCAAATTGAAAATATGGCCCAGTCTTGTGAAATTTGCTGTATATTAGCTCCTAATGTTACAAAAACACCTTTGTCTGTATGGAAATGGCCAACTAATCCGTGGACCAGGCTACATGCGGATTTTTTTGGGCCATGTTTCGATAAAAATTTTTTAGTCATCGAAGAGGCTACATCTAAGTGGATCGAGGGCTTCGAAATGTCAAATATCAGAATACTATAAAGGTGTTTCGAGAATTATTTGCGAGATATAGATTACCAAAAGAAATTTGTACGGATAATGCAAAAACATTCACAAGTTTTGAATTCCAACGTTTTTTAAAGCAAAGCGGTATCAAACATCTTACAGGGGCACCTTACCACCCATCTATAAATGGACAAGCAGAAAGTGCGGTGAAAATTATCAAAAATGCTATTATTAAAAGTAAAACTGAGGATCCAAGGTTAGACACCCATTTAATAATCAATAGATTTTTATTTCAATATCGTAACACCCCACACTCGATCACGGGAGAAACACCTTCTAAATTGCTTTTTGGTAGAAGTTTAAGAACTAAATTTGATTTACTGTTACCTTCTGTGGAAGCCGTAGTGAAATCTAAACAAAATATTATGGACATAAAAAATATGTGAACTATGAGATAAATGATTTGGTATATGCACAAGATTATCGTGAAAATGTTCAAAAGTGGTGTCATGGTAAAATTAAAGAAATATTGGGCAGAAAAACTTTCCTGGTAGAAACCGATTGTGGATTGACATGGAAAAGACATATGAATCAATTAAAAAAAGATTATTCAGACGAAGAATATTCAAATACAATATCTAAAACAAATAACGTTTCTTTCACCCCACGATCAGCTTTAAAAGAAAATATTGTAGATTGGAAGGGAAAAACGGGGACTCACAGTAGTGAACAGTTAGTGAATACGAAAAATGGTAATATGGAAGGTGATAAAACTAATAGTGGTTGATCTCTGAGACCCCGTGATAAAATTAGGGCACCTGAGCGATTAATTATGGCAAATTAATCCTGGGTAGCCTTATGTTTGTTGTTAGTTATTGCAAATTATTACTGTATAGTGTAATGTTTCAACTTAGGTGAAGGGGTGTCATATATTAATAATAAAACATAGTTGTTAGTTTCCAGTCCTGTATATTAAGATCTTTTTGTACACGAATGTTTTTCAGGTAGACTTGCTCTAAAAACGCAGTCGAGTACTTACCGTTGTTGGAGATACAATAAAGTGATACCATATAGAAAATATCTTTTTTTTGCACGATAACATAACAGGGACACAATGAAATTGATGAATGAATGAATATTTTCAGAAAAAAATTAAAATTCACCATATTTTTTGTACAGAGTAGTAGTGCCTCTGTATTTTATATCGTGTGTAAATTGTTTCAACACAATTCAAATAAGAACTCCGATGAAAAGTTAACCAATGCAAAAACAAATGGATTTGATTGTCATTAACCGTCCTCATTTATAGATTTTAGCCAAAAAAAAAAGTATATGAAAAGTTACCATTCACCATTCAGGTCGATATGAGAATTAATTACCTCGGCATTGTTTAAGTGAAATTCCACCTTTATCATAACATTGCTACACATCACATTTTATTTGCAGTAATGGTTTTTATTCCAAGTACATCGGGATTCACAATATCAACAGAATTTAACATTATGTAAGATATTTCATCAGATATCTCATTCGTTGCCTTCATTCTTTAGCTATTCGAAACGTCACAGTAAACCGTAATCGAGAAATTAATTTTATCATTTATTTGGGTATCATTTGTTAAAAAAAATGGATCAATGAAAAAATCTCACAAAACAAGGGAACGAATTTTTTGACGTGGTAAATTAAACAATTATTCATTTATTGTATCTCAGTGTTCTGTCATCCACTTCAGGGTATAAAGAATTGAGTTTTTCTCTTCTTAGTATTATATATCCCTGCGTTTGATGTGGTGTTGGTACCAGCTAATTGATTATTATTACATATAATTACAATCCGTATTGATTAAAGCAGGCAAATTGTTATTTTATACTGGGTGACAATGAAATTATTGTATGTATACAGTGGCAGACAGTTCTTTATGAGATGGCATATTTGAAATTTCAAAACAGGTGTAGATCATTGGGTGCTAGTATTCCTAACGATGAAACATTGAAAATATCAAAAATTTTACTGAATAATTGATGAAATGTGACATTCTGTTCCAGAAATTTAATATTCGTGGCGAGATAGACGATGTAGTTAGTATTTCAGATCAAAATGTTATAATATTCAGTGTACATGAATGAATGAACATAGTTATTATAGTATTTCCAATACCAATTGGAACAGCACAGAGAGAAGGAATTTCCGCCTCGACATAGGCGTCGGCATATTATTTTTCAGTGGTAGTTTTTCAGTTACTTATTCTTACAATCATAGCAATTGATCACCCCATGAAAAAGTTATCTCAGCTGAATTTTTCCACCATGGGTAATTATGAAAAACTTCGAAATTTGAGGTAGTTGAGGTTGAGGTAATAAAGGCCAAAAAAAATGCTAGAAAAATCAAAATTCTTCTTCGTTATATTCAGATGAGGTTGAATCATCATCGGGTTGAATAACGATCGGATTTATGGAACTTTGCACATAATATTTGTTCTCTTCTTTTATAACGTGGGCCACACAGTTC